GAAGGATAAACCCAAATAAACCAAATGTCACAGCGTGAGTATAATGTGACTTCTAAAAAACTGTTAAAACAAGGAAATAGAAAGCCATTTTTAGCTTGAGAGCTGAGATATTGGCTGTATGCCAGTGGTGGACATGTCCAAAATACAGTGGCAATTGACTGGTATTTTGCACTAGTACATTCCTATTTTTTTCTGTGAAGCCTAACACAACAATCATAGTAACCAAACAATTCCCTAATTTACCTCTTTGGTTAATTTGGAAGAGGTACTATTCCCATATAGCATTGAGATTGACATTAGTAGATGAGGGAGGGAAACTGCAGATTAAAAGTGAGCCTGTTATGTTTTCTTTCCTTTGGATGGAGTATTCAGCTGACTGGTTATCACAGAAAATGAACATGTTATCTGCATGAATACAAAAAAGCAAAACAAAACAAAGCTACACAAGAGCTATTTGTTGTTGTTAATTGCGAAGTCATGTCCGACCCATCGCGACCCCATGGACAACGTTCCTCCAGGTCTTCCTGTCCTCTACCATCTTCTGGAGTCCATTTAAATTCACACCTACTTTTTCAGTGACTCCATCCAGCCATCTCATTCTCTGTCGTCCCCTTCTTCTATTGCCCTCAATCTTTCCCAGCATTAGGCTCTTCTCCAGTGAATCCTTCCTTCTCATTAGGTGGCCAAAGTACAATATTGAATGCAAATAAGAAATAAAAGGCTAAGAGCTATAACATTAGTGTTTAAGAATTTCTTTAAATATAGACTGAGCAGGAAACCAGTTAGTAAAATAAGGGCTTGTAATGGATGAGGCTATTTATTTGCTCATTTGCCTTTTCTACTAAAAAATGTTGGTCTCTATTTTGAAATACAGAATTAGTTTAATACCAAAATTAAAATGTTTTTAATGCATATTTTTGCACAAACCACGTAGCAAAAATTAAACAATGGAATTAATGGGAGCCAAATGAATTATGTGCATCTGTCTGTAATGAAGAAAACGTGGGGTAGATGCTTGTCCCTAAATTCAAATTTTCAGTTATCTTCCTTGGTTTGTCATTCTTTTATAAGCCTATCTTTTTTGTTTTAAAAGTTTTTAATTCATTAATAAATAGATAGTTAAACAAAAAGGATAGACTTGAAAAAGAATACCAGAGCTAGGAAGTGAACACTAAAAAGAACAGAAGGGTAAATTGTATCCTGGCCAAATAAATTAACAATGTACATTTATAGAACCTGGCTGGTAGTAATGATTGACTAGGAAAAGAGTATTGAACTTACAGTAGATAGTTTGTGGAAAACAACTCATTGTTCAGCTGCTATAAAAATAATCACTTCTACGATGGGAAAGATTTAGAAAAGAACTGAAAATAAAATTGTCAACATTCATTGTGAACACAATTATCCTAATTATGCTCACAATGAATATTGACATTTATTACATAGGACGTAGAATACTATGTGCATTTTGCCCACGGTAAAATTAAAAATGATGCAGCTCAAAGCAAGCTCATGATCAATGTATTGGAGGAAATTTATATCAAGAAAAAGTTGTCATGATTTGGATAGTTGTAGTAAATGGCAAGACTGCAAGTAATAGTGGTATTTAAAATGTATGATGTGAAAGAAGTACAAACAAAACTGTTTCCCCATCTCTCAGTGTTAAGTAGAATCTTGGATTACATAGTTGAGCCAAATTTATAATTATGTAGCAAATTACTACCAAATAGTTCTGGTATGTTGTTTTAAATCTTTGAATCCTCTGGGATTCTCAGTCGCTCACCTCTACTTAATTGGGATGTGATATAGGCTTGGCATTCTCCCAAGGGTCACATTTTAACTTTTTTTTGCTGTCCAAATCAGTAGCTATCTTTACCCAGTCTAGCTCGTCACTCACAGATATTACTCTTAGAATCAAAACCCACAACAGATATTAACCACAAATGCATAACACTTAGTGGCAGGCCATACACCAGCTATTGATAGTGTTCAATAGTTCACTGGTTCAAAGTGCTGGTGGTGTCTTCTAAAGCCCTACATCAGAAGTTCCCAACCTTTTGGGCACCAGGGACCGGTTCCATGGAGAAAGGTTTTTCCAAGGATTGGAGGGGGCGTGGTTTTGTGGGTTGCCTGCATCCCGCAGATGGGGGTTTGCTTGTTTGTGCGGACCAGTTGCTGGCATGCCGCAGCCTGGTACTGGTCCACAGCTCGGGGGTTGGGGACCCCTGCATTACATGACTTCTTCCAACCAAAATTTAACCATTCTGTATTAATTATCACTAAGAGGTCTATTATTATTATTATTATTATTATTGAATATCCTTGGTATTTCGAAATGACCTCCACTCAGAGATGAAGTTTTCTGCTTCTTTAATAGCATTTTTCCAAAGGCCATTAGGCAGTTAGTCATCACTGTATAATAATATATTTTTTGTTCAAACAGCAATGAGGGCTTCTGCATGATCATTAGAAGTTTGTTTATAACTCAGATTTCTAATATTTACGAAGAATTTTTGTAAACCGCCTAGAGTTTCTGGAAGGCTCAATATAATATAAATTATAGATGAATAGATGAAGAGACACAAGTATGCATATACTGACTTGGCATTAATATATTAACAATATTTCATAATTCATGCAGTTATAAATGGTTAACTTTCTAAAGGCATTATATTACTGCATTTATCCATTAGTAGTTTTCTTCTCATCCTTTTGAACTATTTATGTTTTATATATTTGTTTAATTGTGCTTATATTTAGAAGGTATATAGGAAGCTTGCTTTAAATGTGACAAAATTGTGTTTAAATCCGAATGCTTCTATTTCCTGAGAATCAATGATAATTTAGAAAATAATGTTTTAAATCCCACAACATTAATATTTTAGTTGGTACTTTGTTCTAAGTTGTCTGAGTGACAGATGATTTATTGGAACTTTTATTTTATCATCTAAAGCTTTGTCTAATATTGCTAAGGTCAAGTAGTGCTGCTCTTATCCAATTTGATATTGGATTATAATCTTTCACCTTTTTATTTCTTTAATGGATATGTATAAATCTTACACATCAGGGAGGTCAGATAATCTCTATATTTTTGACTTGGAGAAGAACCAAATCAGTAGCTGTCCAATAGAGTGTCCTTGGCTAAATTCTAGCATAAATAGTACAGTTTAGACAAGTCTTTGGACCGTTCACATCTTTGCATTCTGAGAAGGTGCCATGCTCTTCTGGGCATAACTGAATTGGCCCATTGGTAGTCAAGAGTTTTGTTTTAAAAAATGGATTTAAGTTTGTAATTGGTTTTTCTGAAGTTGCAATATTTTCATGAGGAAAAATGATGTTTTGGTTCCATGGAACATTTTCATTGCTTATTTATGGATCCATAACCTTGTGAGCTTTTCAGCCTCCTGTCTGAAGAGAAAAAGATGAAAGATGGGAGTGCTTGCTATGTATCTTTAAAGATTTTGACATCTGCTCTGGTAAATGTCATAAAAGATATGTATTATTTTTAATTTTTTCATTTAATTTGATCAATTGAATATGTCAGATAACATTGCATTCGCCATCATTACTTCTGTGGCTTAACTTTTTTTACTTTTGGGGTTTATTATGAAGTGTAATTAACTGCACCTAGTATGTGTCCACTAGATGTCACCAGTTAGCTTATTGTAAATAGGCAACACTCAGTATTACTGTATGACTTATTAACTTTTAAAGTTCAGTAATAGTTCTTGTATTTTTGCAAAAAGTATTTTTATTATGCCACTAATACTTGGGTTGAGCATTTTGCTATGAATTACTGCATTATGTCTGAATGAGCATTGATAATGGCTTCATAAAAGTTTTTAGATTTGGGGAGTGGAAATTATATAGAATTCAATTATTTTTAATGTTGCTTTCATTTTATATCCAAATGTTCTGAATTTGTTATCATTTGCATTTGTAACCAACTTTCAATAATACTAATTGTAGCAGTCTTCAAATTAATATGTAACATACCACCCTAGGAGGAATTTTGTGGCCCAAATCTTTCATAAGAGATGTTTAATATTAAGTGTTAAATACATAGGCCAGAGGCTATTTGCATCCTAAAATATATGCAAATTTTCCTCTAAGGATTTTGTGTTTCTCTGCCCTTGTGTGTTCTGTAAGTTCTTTACATCTGTTCATAAATTATACAGAATGTAGATACAAACTTTTTCTATCCTCCTCAAACAAAATTGACTTTTTATATTATGGTAATTATTTCTTGATTTTAGAGAACTACCATAATTAGAGGACTGTGGTTAATTATATGTACTGGGATATGCATAGGAAAAATGCGTAACAGAAAACAAAGTTGTAGATATTCAGCCAATAACTGATGTGTTGTGTTAATTGCTTTGAAAATATACTAAATTAACTGATCAGTATCTATTGTTTGAAATATATTTTGGAGAAATGCATTAAAAAGAAGGACAGTAATTGAGTTACTGTCTGTAGAAGAAAATAAAGTGTATTCTGTGATAGAAATTCTGGAATTAAAAGTACACTTTATTAGTATCAGAATACTGTACTAAAATTGTTGATTGTGAAAAAAACTGCTATGGCACTCAGCTGTATTTAATTTTTTTCTCTCCCACTCACCCCACATTTTTCTAGTTTCAATGACTCTTTCAAGTGATCTGAATTTAGAGTAGCCAAACTCTCTCTTCTAAAAATGTTACAGAATTCTTGGATAACTGATGAGTTTTCCTTTTCTTTATATAAATAAGTAGTGGGCAGTTTAAGGGTTTTGTATCTCAACTCCCAATGCTAGTTACAAATAAGGGGATAAGTATTCAGTTGATTGTGGATGCTTACATTAATTATCATCCTTTTACTTAATCTTCAGCAGGACTTCAGCCAGAAGGCATTATGCTTGGGTTTTAGCTATTGTTCCTTTTGAAATATTGAAAAGAATCCTGAGAAAGAAAAGGCATAATGGTTTTGTAAATTGATCTAGCTCTGTATTTTGTTCCTAGACAGCGGCTGTTCCAGGCAGTTTTGGATTCTCCATCTATATCTTCTCCAATTCTGTTACCTAAGAAAGCTCCTCTCCAAGGCCACATTTTGAACTTTCCAGATGGATTGTTTTTAAAACAGAAAAAGCAATGTGCAGATATCTTTCCAGTCAATGAAAACAGACATTTAGTATCATCTGACAAAGACAAAAATAGTAAAATAAAGCAAGAGGAGAAGCCCTGTAGCTCAGAAGAAAGTTATGAGTCAGGTGATAAAGAAATAGCAAATATAGCTCCTACTGGAAGCATCAGAAATTGTGAAATGCCTTCCACATCTACAACAAGATTTGTTACAAAAGGTAAGGCATCTTGCTGTATACATCAAAATAGTACCTTTGTTTTTCTACACTTTGCTATTTATGTCACATATTTGGTTCCTCTTATTTTCATCTTTGTATTAATCATCATTTTAGCCATTGTCTGCCCACTGCAGGATGAAGGCCTGTTCTCCATGTTTCCAACCAATATGGTCCTGAGCTTTCTTTTGCAATACTTGCTGATGTCATCGATCTATCTTGTTTTAGGTCTCTTTCGTGGATGCTTTTCATCAAGTGGCTTTATATTAATGTACCATTTTATTTTTTCATACTGTTTCTTCTACACTGATGTTAACTGTGGATATTTTTGTGTTAGCTTATGTGTTTACTGCTACATATAATAAGCTTCTCTTCAGGGGATGGATGAAATACTTGAGCAGTGTTTCTCAACCTTGGAAACTTTTAAGATGTGTTGGACTTCAACTCCCAGAATTTCTAAGCCACTTTAGAATGCTGGATAGGGAATTCTGGGAATCAAAGTCCGCACATCCTAAAGTTCACAAGGTTAAGAAACTAGAAGAATCTTGGTACTCACTTTTCTCTAGATTTCTTCCATATTTAAAGTAAATATGCCAACTATAAATGAAATCTGTTTGCTTATTTATTTTACTTCTGACTAGTTAGATGAAAGGACTTCAGAATACTTACTGTGGGATAAGTAATAAAAACAAACCAAAAGTAATTAAAACATTACACATTGATTAATTGATGTGCCATCAAGTTGACAATTCCCAATGACCAAATAGATTTTCTTCATGATAGTCTGTCCCTAATCTAATCTTCCAAGGTAAAACATTAAAAATGCATCAGCAATACTATCAGTTAAAATGCATAAAGCTATTCCCCCCCCTCCCATGGCCAGAAAAAAAACATATGACCAACATAATTTGACATAGGACCAGTCTAGTACTGTGATTTTATGGAAATTAGTTTTAATTAAGTATAAAACATACAAATAAGATAAAAATGATTTTTAGCATTTTATTGATATAAAAATAGAAGATGAAATGTTTCAGTGTTTTCAAAATTTCTTCTATCTATGACCTACCTATCTATATAGCAGAATATAGCCATATAGAAAACACTTTTGCAGAAGCCAAGCATATATTAGGTGATATTTGATTTTTTCCCCCACAATGAAGATGAACTTTATCAAAACTAATTGATAGGTGGGAAGCTGTGCACCTGCCAGACGATAAAGAATTTAAGAGTATATTAAAAATAAACTTTAATAACATTTTTAAAAATGTTGCTTTTTTTCTGCCAGTGGTTCATTTTTTGTGGCGCCTTGCAGCATCCATGTGTGCATAGGATGATATTTTGGGATGTTCTCAGATATAATGATAAATCTTAGCTTCTCTGGACTTCCCTTCTTTTTTAGACGCATGGTAAGAAGGAAAAAGCCTTTTACTTTTGATCAGTGCTCCTTAACCTTTTTTCCTCTCATGAACTCTTCCCATTTTTAAATGTTACGGAGGACCCCCAACGCGCTTTTGCTTGTATGGGTTATATTTATCAATATTTACCGACATTAAAAATTAAAATTGGTGCCATTCGTTCTTTTCATGATTGTTTAATGGGATTTTAATATTGTGTTATTTTTCAACATAGGCTGGCAAATAATTTTGATTTGGGGGGGGGCCTCCCCATGGGTTTTAGGATCACACTTCAATAAACACTGCTTTAGATGAATTGCAGTTTTATTATACAGGTTTTAATGCTATGATTTAGCTGTGTGTAAAAAAAAGTATTTTCATAAACTTGATTTGACATGGGTTTCTCAGGGAGGGGGCAAATGATGACATACTTTAGTCAGATATTGTGATATGACTGATACAAATTATATAATTGTTCAGTGGCTCGATGCGTGTGTTGTTATTTGATATCAGGATGGCTTGTTATCCATGCTGCTGTTTGACATTGGCATGTTTCAACTTGTAGTTTGTTCATAGTGCAAAGTCTAATGACTGTAAGGCAAGAAGAAGACGTTTCTTTCTTCTGACTGCATGAGCACAGAGAGGTTGCATAAATAACCACCTGAATGCACACACATAGCTACTGTATTAATTTAGCTGGATTTTTAAAAGAGTTGTATAAATCCATACATCTGCAATGACTAGCCACGATGACTACATGACTTTATAATTCTGGTTTCAATATTCTAGGAACACATTCCGTAGGGGTGACCATCACCTTTAAGTCCCAGTTGTGAGCTTGTATTTATTTCATCTTCTTTTGAATTTTAACAAAAGAAACAATACTATCATTGGAAAAAAGCAATACACTACTTTAGTTTTGTATTAATAATCTCTGTGAAAATTTTTTTATAAAATGTTTTATAGATGGCACCTTGATCCACAAAAAATGTCTTATATGTACCCTGACGTGCAACCCAAATGTTGGAGATGTGGTTATAAGGAGGCTTCCTATTATCATATTTGGTGGTCATGCAGAGAGATAAAAGCATTTTGGATCAAAGTATGGTGGAATATCCAGAGAATTTTTAGAAGGAGGGTAAAATTTACTCCGCAATTATTTTTGTTAGGTATTGTTACAGATTGTGATACAAAGGAGGTTGTATTGATGTTAAATTTGATTACAGCCGCTAGGCTGTTAGTAGGACAATATTGGAAGAAGGAATCCTTGCCTACATTGCAGGAATGGTTTCTTAAAGTAGCTTATCTGGCGGAAATGGCAAAGATCTCGGCTTTCTTAAAGCAACAAACGCAAGAGAAGTTTTTTGCTGTTTGGGATAAATGGATAAAATTTATACAATTTAGATTGGGTATACAAAAATATTATATAGTTTTTTCATAAGTTTTATTTTTATATATATTATAGATAATCTTTTTATATATATATATAAATAAAGTTCTTAATTTAATTTTTATTTTTACTTTTTAAGCCTATATTCTGCTCTGGGAAGCTCAGGGGGGGGGAAGGGAGGGGGGGGTTTGGGAGGGGTGGGGTTTTTTTTGTTTTTTTTTATATATATGTATTGTTTAGTTTTATTTTTTTGTATATGTTGTCTCTTGTTTTGTATTCTTTTTTCTTTTTTGTAAAATTTATAAAACTTTTAATAAAAAAAAAAATAATCTCTGTGAAAATTGATAAACATCTATTTGAGTGAAATTGTTACTTGGCTGGCCTCCTTGTTCCAGAGCAATAGGAAATTATGAGGCCATCCTTTAAATTATTTATAATGGAAAGTTTACATTTATTTTATTCTACTTTTGTTCATGTTAAAAGATTGAAATTTCAGTTTGGTGATTACTTATGTATGGAAAGGAAACTGAATTTTTCTTCACTCTGCATTGCAAGTTGAATCATAGACATAAAATGCAATGATAGCTTAATATACTTTTATCTTACATCAGCATCTTTGCTAACTTAATTTGATTTGGAATACCATGTTTGCTCTAGCAATGTTATTGCTTAGATGGAATTCACATTGAAATTTTGCTGACTTATGAGTGTAAGTATGTGGAAACAGAGAGTAAAGCTATACACGAAAGCAAAATCTGCATTTCACTTTCTACTGCTTTATAATAAAAAAAAGTGAATGGGATAGTAAACATGTCAGCTGCAAAATAAGCACTTCTGTCTTATTTTTTTTTTTTTTTTTTTACTGAAAATCAAGAAAATGGTTTCACTTTGTTCAGGCTGGTAGAACTCTATTTGTTCTTTTTAGTAATGCATGATAACAATATGAAGGTAAAACTGTTCATACTTGTTTCATCATCAAAACTGGGTCTCACCTTGTTTGTAAGATGCTGGCTTCATTGGCATTTGATGGTGAACTTTGAAATTATATCACTCCAAACCTAGTGTCTTCTGGATATGTCAGACTGTCACTTCCACCGTCACCACATCTGGAGGGCACTGGCTTGAGAAGAATCCACCTAGATGTCTGCACACTGTGCAACAGCAAGCATCCCCCTTCCCCCCAAAGAAAGTTCTTTTGATTTAATTTACAATCTAATATGGCCATGTTTAAATGTTTCAGTGGAGTGTCCTGTCTGTGGGGTTCCTGTTCAAGAACTACATATAAATAACCACCTGGATAGTTGCCTGGCAAGAGACGAGAAGAAAGACAGTCTCCGAAGGTAAGGTTCTTGAGTGTATGAGTTATAATGAATGCTATCCGTACTTAATTTAGCAAGAAAACAGTACCAAATTGGGTCAGTTTTTCTTGTTTTATTTAACCGTCTTTGAATAATGTTTTCTGGTATAAAAACAATATTAGAAGTTCCCCGAAGATGGGCTCCAGCACTACTCTGAAAACTTGGAAGACAAAACCTTTGGTCCAGGGGTGGGATTCAACCGGTTTGCACCATTTTGGCAGAACCGGTAGCTAATTTTTTGTTCCCCAGGCCCAGAATGGATTTCCGGAAGCGGCATCCACACAGAGAACTGGTTGTTCACATATTTGAACCCCACCATTGCTCTGGTCCCAGTGACCGACCCAGATTGGATCCTAAAACAATATTAGTACATTGATGTACATAATACATCAATAAAGCAACAGTTTATTCAGATTTGTTTGGATTTATTGGACAAAGGGGAGACCTTCCCTCTGGAGCAATTGGTATCTGGAGAATAGCTGAAACAATGTTAGGGCTTCTTCAGTAATATTTTCCGGCAGCTGATATCTACTCACTTTTTTTTTAGTCCTTTGTAGATGCTGTTTTTTGTTTCATCTGATGTTAACTATTTGTAATATTCTCCAAATACAATTATGGAATAATTAATTGCTCATCCTGTGCAGAGCAGAATGATACAGTTGAATCTTTGGAAGAATGTGATTGGCATATATTTATCTCTTTCACAATATTAGTAATCAATGCAAATATAAATGAATCATGATGCAAGTGGGCTAGCAGGTGTACAATATTGCTGCAAGGCCTCACCAAATACATAAAAAATGTAGATTTAGTTGAAAGGGGAGAACAGATTGTTTCAAATTTTCATTATTTGCTGGGGCTGTACATCAGAACATGAGCATCTCAGGAAGAGGGTTGTTGGTTCTAGTCTGATAATTCTTTGCATTTGATTTCAAACAGCTCTTAAGTCATTCTCAGTTTACTGTTCCTGAGCACATAAATAAGAGCAGTAATTTAGTAAGCTATTGCATAGTACAATCTTTCTTAACTGACGTTCTGCAGAACCCTCGTGTTCCGAAAGAGGTCACTAAAGAAATAAAGTTGTTATTTTACTTCTCACGCTCTGCAATGCTAGGATGTGCAGTGGCAAGAATTTTCACGTACCATGACTCAACTGTTCACCTGCTGCTTGGCTGTTGTTGTAAATATTGTAAAATATGGATTTTTTACGTTAGAAATGAATTGTATTGTGGAGTTTTAATCGTGGCTTTTAGGCAAGGGCTCTCTAAGATCTGTGAATTATTTCAAGGGCTATTCAATGCAAAAAAAGTCATGATACGTCACGACACATCACATGACGTGGCGAGTTTGACACCCATGGTCTAGAGCAGGGCTTTTCAACCTTTTCACCCATTGTGCCACTTTTAGGATATGGCAACATCCAAGTACCACCAGTCGCCTACCAAGGTGTCAAAAACTTGACCCCCCCAAAAGGAAAAAAGTGATAAAGTACAGGTAGTCCTCGACTTACAACAGTTCACTTAGTGATTGTTCAAAGTTACAATGGCACTGAAAAAGTGCCCCCCAAGCCACAGCTGAGCAAGACACCTGCCTGCTCACCCGGCTCGCTCTTCCTCCTGTCCGAGGTTTTCATTGTTGTGAGCATTTCTGTTGAGGATTGGCAGTAGGGGTGGGGTGGGGGTGTTTAGTTTTTATTTCCCCCGTCTGCTGGGTGGTTGCAGCAGGTTTTAGTCACTTCACATGACCCTGGGACACTGTGACAATCATAAATATGAATCAGTTGCCAAGCATCTGAATGTAAATCACAAGACCCTGGAGATGCTGCAACATTCCAGCTTCTTCTGGGCTCAGCAGAAGCACCAGGATCAGTGCCGAGCTCCAGCTGGAGCCTGGCGCTGATTCTGGCGCTTCCGCTGAGCCCTGACAGCCTTGTAGCTCTAGCCATCTCTCGCTCAGGCTTGTGGGGTACTGCCACCGGTTCAGCTCATTCCCCTCCCCCGCTACCACTTTTCTAAAATGGTTGTGTATCACCTGCCAGGTACCAATGTACCACAGGTGGTACCCGTACCACTGGTTGAAAAGCCCTGGTCTAGAGCAGGGGTAGGCAACCTTGGCTCTTTTATGATTCGTGGACTTCAACTCCCAGAATTCCTGAGCCAGCATGGCTGGCTGAGGAATTCTGGAAGCTGAAGTCCACAAGTCTTAAAGTTGCCAAATTTGAGAACCCCTGAGTTAAGTGATTTTAACTGCTAGAAAAGAATGGAACACCTAAAACATTTTGTCTAAAATAACTGCATTTTGGCTTGTATCTGGAATAAAATACACAAAAATATACACAACCCGTAAGATACCAACTGTTCTGTCCCCAGATTTGGACATGAACAGTGTTGTACATCCGTAAATCAGACATATGTAGGCATTTTGCCCAATCAAACATTATGTTTCATTTCTGATATGAGAAGTCTAGACAGTAAATCAGAAAATTACTTTAAGGCTGAACCTGTTTTCCCAACAAAGTACAGTGGCTGGACAGTTTTAATTGAATAGGGAATTTTAAGAAAAAGGTCACTTGGAAAGAACAGATAGGCCAGTGGTGGCAAATCTATGGCATGGGTGCCAGAAGCGGCACTCAGAGCCCTCTCTGTGGGCATGTGCGCTGGCACCCCAGTCCTAGGCCTTCAGCTGGGTTTTATAAAACCTTTTCGCTTTAGGCAAAAAAAAAAAAAAAAGGTTCAATCAAGCAGTCAATTTCAACTTCTTGCAGGAAGAAAAAAGATCTTGCAATGTTGGAATTGATTGAACTTTTTAGTCCCACCCAGTCTGCTGTAACCACCGCAGCCATGGCCACCCAATGGGCCACACCCACCCAATGGGCCACACCCACCCGGCACCCAACAATGCATAAGTGGGTTTGGGGTTGCAGTTTGGGCACTCAGCCTCTAAAAGGTTCGCCATCACTAAGATAGGCTGTAGTCTGTTTTGGCTTTACTTATTTATTATGACCCATATAAATATATTAGAATTTTATACTTGAATTATTAATTCATGCTATTGTAAAGTTAGTTTGGGCTATAAAGGGTAAAATAGTCCCATTCTGGGTTACGTCTGTATTTTGTTTTCTGTATATGTGAAGACACTGACTAAAATGAAATTCTACTGATTAGAATGGGATATCAGCATTGAATTCTTGCCATACAGAGAGCTTTGCTACAATTTAAATAGGCCCAAAAAATCATGAATGGGGTTTAGTTGTGAATGATTTTTTCCCCTGTCTTACAGGGGAAAAAATCAGAGGATTCCCACTGAAATTTAAATAGACATCATAAACAGTATGAATAGTGTCAAATATTTTTTTTTGTTTAATTGAACTCTGCAAATTGTCTGTGGAGCCTGTTCTTGTTGCTAGGAAACACTATCTGTGATGTCCACTGAAAATTGCATTGTGTTGCCTGTGGCAGAAGAGTGATTCATGACTGTTAGAAATAATAAATGCAAGTTAAAAAGGGATTAGATAAATTTCTGTAGTACATGGTACCCTAGTGCCAAATTGGCAGCCAGGTAAGTTTGGGAATGCAATCACATATTGTTAGTAACCTGCTCTTTTGCATATCATGCTAGGGCATAATTGAATGTAATATTTGTGAGTAATAACAAATTGCGGTAGTTTTATGTTAGCACACTACTTATCTTATTGCCAAGCAACCAGGAAGTGTGGAAGCCTTTACTTTTACTTATCTATAACTTGCTGAGTTCAGCTCTGGAATTATAATTAATATTACATTAGATTAATAAACATTTAGTTTAAATTATGATGTGACTTAAAATACAGTTAACAAGAGACAGAGTTAGTTGATTAGATGAGATGATAAGCTAAACGTTTATCTGCTTGGAAGGACATTTGCAAAGGAAGAATGCATAAGCCTGATACTTTTTGAATTCAGCTCATGATTTAGTCAAGTTTTTTTCCCCTCATAGAATTTATTGTTGACTGCTAAAATTAGAGATAGATATTAGAAAATAATCTTTCATCAATAACTTTGCTATTTTACTCTAATGTAGAATTAATTTCCAATTGAAGAGCAAAATATAAACTAAATTGAATATACATCTAATACATTTATTTGAATTATTGTACTTCGGTGTTAAGTAATTTGAACATTTTATTTATATGGCCTCCATTTGACACACAATTCTAACAAAAATTTAAAATAATAAAAAAATAATTTAAAAGCGACATATGGCATTCTGGGAGATTCAGAAAACATGTAACTACAGTATCAAAATGTCTGAAAGTTGAGTCATGGCAACTGGACTTATTTTTCTTGTTACTTTCAGATGTTTAGCTGCTTATCCAAGCAGCTTCATCAGTCAGAGCAAGTTAATTAGTCCGAGAGTCATTAGTCCGAGAGTCATACCAACTCCTCCTGCACCAACCTCTGTTTTCCTTCCTAAAGTGTATTGCAATATGTCGATGAAGATTCTCTGCCTAACTTACTCTGACTGATGAAGCTCCTTGAATGAGCAGTGAAAAGTCTCAAACTAACAAGAAAAATAAGTCCAGTTGTCATGACTCAACCTTCAGACAACTTTAACTGGATGACTGAGATTCTTCATCGACAAATGGACATAATTTACTTGGACTTCAGTAAGGCATTTGATAAAGTAGATCACAACCTACTACTTGACAAGATAGAAAAATGTGGGGTAGACAGAACCACCACCAGATGGATCCGTAGCTGGCTGACCGGCCGTACTCAGTGAGTGGTCCTCAATGGAACTGCATCTATATGGAGGGAAGTGTGTAGTGGGGTGCCCCGGGGCTCTGTTCTGGGCCCAGTACTCTTCAACATCTTCATCAACGATTTGGATGAAGGGATAGATGGGGAACTCATCAAATTTGCAGATGACACCAAGCTGGCAGGAATAGCCAACACTCCAGAAGACAGGCTTCAGGTACAGAAGGATCTGGACAGACTTGAACA